ATATACCTTGTTAAAAACAGTTTGGGCCTCCTTTTGCCTTAAGAACTGCTTTAATACTTCATGTCTTCTCCAACTCATTTTTCATAGATTTTGTTCCGTATTAACATGATAGCGTAGCACAGACCTGGTGGCTGCACATCCATGATGCAAATATTTCGTTACACCACATTCCAAAAGTGCTTTATTGGTTTGAGATCAAGTTACAGTGAGTACAGTGAGCTCACTGTCATGTTAGAGGAACTATTTTAAGATGGTTTGATCTTTGCAACATCAGAAGATGGGTACACTGTGGTCATAAAGGTGAGACCATGCAAATAGTAGCTTGCGTGGTCCAGTTTGCTGCTGTTAGCCTGGAGTGTCACCTGGAGTGGTTTTCTGCTTCAAGGTTCAACATGTTGCATATTCAGAGATGGTATTCTGCTTACTTCCATTTTAACAAGTGGTTATTTAAGTTTTATTTGTCTTTAGCTCAAATTTCAAAGCACTCTGACCATTCTCCTTTGACCTCTGGTATCTACAAGATATTTGTGCCCATAAAACTGCTGCTCATTTAATTAATTTATTTTTTTAATCCTTTCTCTGTAAACCTAGAAATAGGTGTGCAGGAAAATCACAGAACATCAGGCATCTTCTAAAATACTCAAACCAGCCATCTGGCACCAACAACCATGTCATGTTTGGAGTCACATAATGCTCATGCTTAATGCTCAGAATGAACTACAGCACATTATCTTGACCATGTCTACATGCTTACATAAATGCACTGAGTTTCTTTAGTGTAAATGGCTCATTAGATATTTGCATTTGCAGCTCCACAGATGTACCCAAGAAAGTGGGTTGTGAGCTTATTTCTGTACTGCAGTTTTTTAGTGAAATTTCTCATATATTTATGGAGTCAGTCTTTAAAATTGCTATAAAAGGACATAAATAAAGATACTTCTTGCTTCTTATTCACAAAGGGGTCACTTTCTTTCACATGTCAACGAGTCGCTACATTATTAGGAGCCAGGGCTTAGGAGGAGCTCCACATTACTCAAGACACTTTTCCTGCATGGAAAGGACAAGCCAGGGGGATTTTTTAAGTGTAAACGAGAGGGTCTGTTCAAACCTGCCCCATGGCCTCAAAGTCTCCTGACACAGTCTAATGGGAGGGCAGGTTTCGGTTGACAAGTCTGAGCGAAAGTTGAGGAAAAGGGGTGTGGGGGGGTGTGAACAAGACACAGTCGTATACTCACATGCTGGGTGTTTAAACTCTGCCAAGGAGAGTGTTTGGTTTCTGTTGTTTGTCTTTCCCAACCACAATTTTACAAGGTGGACTCCATTTGCTTTAAAAAAAAAAAAGGAGGGGGGGGGGCGTTATAATGCATTCTTACAGCGACAGGAGTTAATACTGTACACTTATCTGTCAGAATAAATTATCTCTAGAAGATTCAGTGATTTTTGTTCAGCTTATTTTGATATTTTAATACATAAAACATTTGTAATAATATACTTGAACAAAACAAAGTGCACACTTTTGACCTTGTTCAGCTAAAGAAATGCCTAATGCAATTCATGGAAAAGGAATCTGTCCTTCAAATTATGAGGACTCTATCCATCCACCCACCATTTCATTTTCTTAACAGATTATCCAATTTAGGTCATATGAGGCCTCAAGCCTAATCCTTGTCATAAGGTCAGAGGTGGGTTACACCCCGGTCAGGTCGCCACTTCATCACAAGACTGTTTTTCTTCTGTCGTACTTTATTATTTTCTTTCTGTTCTGTGCTTTCAGATTATCTTCAGAAACGCAACAACAGTGTGCCTAAATCTGGAAAAATAACATTTTTTTTAAGCATTTTGCTTTTAACTTTTTTCAGATCCTCTCATGTTCGGTGGCCTCTTGTTTTTACCTATTTATTAAACGCACAATACAGACAAAAGTATTTGGGCCTTCTACACATTTTAACAGCAGGATCTTTTTTATGGCATCAGTCCCCACTTCGCAGCTATAGCAACTTCTGTTTCTCTGGAAAGGGTTTCTATATGTTCTGCACTTTCGAATTGTCTGTGGAAAGTTTTGGTCTTTCATCAAGACAAGCGCTTGTGAAACCAGACACTAATGTTGCATGCTTGCAGTCTCTGCTCTAGTTCATCCCAAAGGTGTGGGTCAGGGCTCTTTTGAAAGCCAATCAAGTTCTTCCACACCAAACTCACCCAACCATGTATTTCTGGACTTTGCTTTGTGCACCAGTTAACAACCATGCTGGAACAGGAAACAGCCTTATTCAAACTGTTTCCAAAAAGTTAGAAGCACAGAATTGTCCTAAATGTTGTGGTAAGCTGACGCATTAATAAGATTTCCCCTTCACTGGAACTAATTCAATTCAATTTTATTTATATAGCGCCAAATCACCACAAAAGTCGCCTCAAGGTGCTTTATATTGTACAGTAGATACAGAGAAAAGCCCAACAATCAAATGACCCCCTATGAGCAAGCACTTTGGCGACAGTGGGAAGGAAAAACTCCCTTTTAACAGGAAGAAACCTCCAGCAGAACCAGGCTCAGGGAGGAGCGGCCATCTGCTGCGACCGGTTGGGGTGGGAGAAGGAAGACAGGGTAAAGACATGCTGTGGAAGAGAGACAGAGGTTAATAACAGATATGATTCAATGCAGAGAGGTCTATTAACACATAGTGAGTGAGAAAGGTGACTGGAAAGGAAAAACTCAATGCATCATGGGAATCCCCGGCAGCCTTCATCTATTGCAGCATAACTAAGGGAGGATTCAGGGTCACCTGGTCCAGCCCTAACTATATGCTTTAGCAAAAAGGAAAGTTTTAAGCCTAATCTTGAAAGTAGAGATAGTGTCTGTCTCCTGAATCCAAACTGGAAGCTGGTTCCACAGAAGAGGGGCCTGAAAACTGAAGGCTCTCCCTCCCATTCTACTTTTAAATACTCTAGGAACAACAACTAGGCCTGCAGAGCAAGAGCGAAGTGCTCTAATAGGGTGATATGGTACTACAAGGTCATTAAGATAAGATGGGGCCTGATTATTTAAGACCTTGTATGTGAGGAGCAGGATTTTGAATTCAATTCTGGATTTAACAGGAAGCCAATGAAGGGAAGCTAAAACAGGAGAAATCTGCTCTCTCTTTTGAGTCCCTGTCAGTACTCTTGCTGCAGCATTTTAGATTAACTGAAGGCTTTTCAGTGAGTTTTTTGGACATCCTGATAATAACGAATTGCAGTAGTCCAGCCTGGAAGTAATAAATGCATGAACTAGTTTTTCAGCGTCACTCTGAGACAGGATTTTTCTAATTTTAGAGATGTTGCGCAAATGGAAGAAAGCAGTCTTACATATTTGTTTAATATGTGCGTTGAAGGACATGTCCTGGTCAAAAATGACTCCAAGGTTCCTCACAGCGTTACTGGAGGCCAAGGTAATGCCATCCAGAGTAAGAATCTGGTTAGATACCAAATTTCTAAGATTTTCAAGGCCAAGTACAATAACCTCAGTTTTATCTGAATTAACTAAGAGGCTGAAGGCAAAGCTCAGAAAAAACAACCATCAAGAGGTGTGGCCAATTATTTTTATCTGTATAGTGTGTGCAGTGGCAAGAGATTTTTTTTCTTGCAATCCTCTACATTTGCTTCTGATGTGGAAACTGAACTTCACATACTATGTCTGTGGAAGTTCACATTCAAAATCAACAACATTCCCAATAAGACAACAGTAAGACAGCACACAAGTGTCTTGAATCCAGTCTTTATATTTACTACTGCTGTTGGTTGCAGAAGAGAATATTGCTGCTATCTAAACATTCAGTCCCATACTGATGTTGTCTCAACGGTAATGCTGTACACAGACTTTTTAGTAATTCAATTATACTTCATATTTTCATACAAAAATCAGCAATAATCTATAAAACCTTAAGAATGCTTGTACAATTCATATACTTTAAGACATATATGGCACTACTTGTATATATCTCATGCAATTCAGAGCTGTAGTTTGATATAATATATATGTATATTCATACCTGTACGTCATATTCTTATATCTCCCTATTTTCTCTTATTTTTGATTCACTATAGTTTCGCACTGTGGCTGCGGGATTTTTTTTAATTCTTCTATGTTCTGTATATGTTGCAGAACTGACAATAAGGTTGACTTTGACTTACTCTGACTTCCTTGACTTGATTTAACGAGACCAAATCCCACTATACTTCAGCTTTAGTTGACGTCTGTAAAAAGTGGAACCGGGTATTTAAACAAACTGTCACTCTATGCCACAATATTCAAGAACAAGTGAAGATCATTTTATTTTGGTGGCTCATTCCTACCTACTTTGCCAGTAAGGAGCAAGTGGATTTCAGGTTGTCTAAAGAGCTTGGAAAGAAAAGCGTCTGGACTTCTTTAAGTTGCTTGAAGACGTTTCACCTCTCATCCGAGAAGCTTTCAGGTTGATGATACGATAGTGCTCCCCAGTGGACAAATACCCGTTTTGCATGCTTTAATTGTACACTGAGTGGTACAAATAGTCTATTATGGTAGTCTATTATAATGCCTCACACAACACGAGCAGCCTGTTATAGTCTTTTATTGCACACATAGCTTAGCATGAACTTGATATATCATAGGGTATGTCATTATTAGAATCTGGAGTCCCTATTTATTCCCCTTTAAGTGCATTAAAATTGTGTTGCAGTTTCCATGTCCAAGTCAAACACGACTATTTAGTGTTTTCATTATAGCATTGCCGTCAAAATACCATATTTCAATTAATTTTGCACTTAAATAGAATCGGATGATAAATATACGGAAAGGGTATTTAATAAACCCCACCCTCTTGCGACGCAGTCGTTGTTTGGCCCGTGACGCTGCTTGTACACGTAGCCTAGTAGGATGTGTTCATTGAAGATGGTGGCGGTGTGTCACACTCCAGCATACTTGTAAGAATTTATTCATTTCTGTACACATTTCCGACAGCGGGTAAGAGTATATCTGCAACACAGTTAACAATGTTTTACTCTAGGTGTTTTAATCTGGTGTCTGTGGCAGGCAGGGAACTGTTACCTTGTGATTAGCGCAGGCTAGTTAGCCAGGAATGCTAAGTAAGCAGCAGTGCTAATGCTAGCTGACCAGGCTGTGAACCTGTTAAATTATGGTCGACGAGTGGCCAGCGACTTGTAACTTATTGCGGTGTAACCATGTCAATGTTGAGTTTGTGCCGAAATTTTACGCCTTTCGTGACTCACAGAACTGCTGGTGTAAGGACGAATTCGGGCAGACTTTAGATGTTAGTGATTTGCTGGCTCCGGCGTTTGGGACATACGGAGCACCGAACGGTTCCCGTTAGCTGTTGTACCAATCACCGGACCTTTACCCGACTGTCGCTTAATGTGTAACACTATCTCAATGTCGTGCCAGACCAAAGAGATTTAGCAGCCATCTATATTGGAACAACTGGCAAGTAGTGATAAGAAGTAGGGAGCGTATGTCTAACAACGCTAACTTTGTGACTTTTCTAAGTTGGCAGATCTGCGGTGCTAACGATACGAAGCTTAAGAGGGTGCAACGGCTCTTGGTAAATTTATATCCTAGAGCGCCGGGAAGATCCGGGATCTCCCCGGTAGAGCCCGTCTGGCCAAATGTACTTCCCTACGTTACATTAGTTCCGTGTCTTCTTTCTCTCCAAACATCTAGCATTTGAAATGCTTATTGACAGGCCGTGTTAGCTTGACTCAACTTCCTACTGAGACACGCTCAGTATCTCTGTTTGACAAATAATATACATGGCCTTGATCTTAATACTACGTAGTGGCGTGATTTAAATGACTGTCCACTATTAACTTTTGCATTTCAACTGAGAAAAGTGTACACATGTTGTACAAGGGTAGTGGCACGACTCATGTGACAGTTACCAGTTAATGCTAAGTGTAAATAATTTTAATCATAGTTTCCACCCCTGTTTGGCTGATTTCATCCTTACCTGAACTCAAGAAACAACTATAGATGCAATGGCACTGTGGTCTCTTGTCAGTAGAGCAGTTCAGTTTGACTTTCGGCTAAAAGCTGCATTTGACGCAAAAGCAGGTGCTTTTTTTTTTTCTTTTTAAAGAAACTATTTAGCTACTCAACTTTGCAGCCTCCATGAGATCTGTGATGTTAATTTAAGTTTCCTGTTTTTGTTTATTTTTTAAGGAAATTTTCATAAATTTCATATATTATATTTTCCTCACCTGGGTGATATACACTATACAAGTGTATAGACTTACATCAGTGCTTTGGTTCATAATATATTACCAGTAAGATGACCATCAAATGCTCTACAGACCATTTAATTACTAGTATACTAGTATACCAAGTATGCATTACAGTAAATCAAGTGTGTTGTATTGAATTGAGCACTATATGTATTTACCCACCACAGCATCTTGAGGGCTGATGTAGAACTTGCCACGTTGTACGTTTGGTTTGAATAGGACCACAGGCTAAAATGCAAACAAAGGTGTGGTAAAGTATCCCAAAGAGGCAGGGCTTTTTGTTAATCACTTCCTCTTTCTTGTCTCTATTCAGCTACGCCTGACTTCAGTCTTCAGTGAGATCTCTTAGAGTGACCTGGTCCTCGGACCTGTTAACTCTGCGGACATGCAGCCCCCTCCCCGGACTGGACGACCAGGAGCCTCTGGCCCTCCTCCTTCTGGGCCCAATATGTTCCGCAGGACCAGGCCTTACAAGCATGCTGCTGCAGCTCCTGCCACAATGCCTCCTGTTGCTCAACCCATGACAGACCCTTTTGCTTTTAGTAGAGCTCCTCCCCCTATGGCTGCAGGTGGCCTCCCAACAGTATCTAACAGCAGCCCTGCACCAGTGCAAACACCATCTAATGCCATGTACCCTCAACCTGGCTCAGGGCTGCCTCCGCAACCACAGACACTGGAGGGTGCCACAGCTGCTGCTTCTGGAATGACCCTCTTCAACCCTCACAGTACACCACCCCTTGGTCCAACTGGATACGTATCTTCACATAATGAACAGGGATATTTTAATTCAAGAGAACAGATACCATCTGCATCCACAGAGTCAGCACCTATGGCTACAGCCTCAGAACCTAGTCAGACACCTTTGAACCCTGAATTTCAAGGACAGTCTGGTCCTCTGCCAGTGCCCTTCCAGCCACTGCCACCGGTCACCACCTCCTCTTCCCAGTGGGCCCCTGATCACGGAAGTCGCCCCCCATCAGTTCAGAACTATTTCCAGCCTACTAGTGACCCTGTACCACAGCCATTTAATATGCCTCCACAAACCCAGATGTACCCCTCCCACAGCCCATCACCCCTTCACAACACCCCTACCCCTCTGACCCAACCTGCACATCTTCAGAATCAGGCTTCTCTTCCTTCTCAAAATCCACTAAAACCTCCTACTTCTCAGTGGCCAGACCCAAATGGTCCCCAACAGCATAATTCCCATTTCCAAACACAGAGTTACTTCAGTCAGAGCTCTGCTGCACCAGATCTTTGGTTTAACCCGCCCCCACAGGACTCGGGCTACCATCAAATGGGTACTGGTATGGGTCATCCTCAGCCCCTTCTTGATGCTGCTGGATCTCAGCCTGCAACCAGTACTGCGCCTGGGCCTAGTTCTAGTACTGTCCCAGCCCCACTTCCACATTACCAGGAATCCGGTACACTTTCAATGTTCTTCAAAGACAATGATGTGGAAAATGAGGAAACGCTGTCTGCAGAGAGAAATAAGGCAGTAAATGGTATTGCTGGAACTTTTCAACTTCACAACAACCAGCAGGCACACAGTAGTCATGCAGATGTTTCTTCAGATTACCAAGGAGCTTTTCTTCAAGATCACTCACAAGTACCTTACATGATCGATGGCAATCAACCATCACAGGGAAATGCTCAGAAGCCATCTGATTCACAGTTTGACCATGTAGAGAATTTGGAGTGTGTTCCAAACCAAGAAGTATTACCCAGTGAAATCCATAGTAATACTGCTGCTACTGCACCCCACAGTGCTGAGCAGTTTGAAACTGGACCCAACCTGGAGACTCCAGATTCAATTCCCAGACCAATGAGATCTGCCAGTGTGTCGTCCAACTACAGCAACATGAGCCATGGGAGTGGAACAGGCACTCGTCGACATCAGGGGGTGGTGGGCACCTTTATTCAACAGGAAAGCTCACGACTCTCTGATGATCCTAATCAGCCTGTCGCTGCTGCTGCAGCTGGAGGCTACTTTGAACAGATTGACACTTCTCCAGCTGGAGATGTGGGTGTACAGCAGAGCTCTCTGGAGCAAATGTGGCCCCCCACGCCTAGCCCTCCCAAACCAACCGGTATCTTTCAGGCCAGTGCTAACAGCTCTTTCGAACCTGTGCGCTCACATGGGGTCGGGGTGCGTCCTGCTGAGATTGACAGGGCTAAAATGGTAGCAGAAGGGGGTGCAGATTGTACACCAGGTAATATGGAGCAGCCACCAGACAATATGGAAAATGTTTATGGCTCAGGTCACCCTCTGCCTGCAGGTGCTGGAGGTGCCGTACCTCCTTTGACACACCCAGTGGTCTATTCTCACTCTCGACCTTCATCCCGTGCTCATGGAGTTAATCAGCCCTGTGAGAGTCCTGCCACTACTCTGTGGGCTCAGAATGATCCTACGACCTTGGGCGGTAACATCCTCCTCGCCCCTGCTGCCCCAATAGTTCTTGCCCCATTACGAGAGCCAAGTGCTGATGTTATCCAACCTCCAGAGGATGGTCCACTGGACCTGCAGCCCTCCCAAAGAACCCAGCCACCTTCGCATCAGCACTCAGAGAATCTAGAGAACCCGCCAAAGGTGAGTGAGGCAGAGCCAAGTGACTCTCAAGGCAACCTGGGCTATGCATCTCTCCTTGTGTCTGGCTCGCTTCACCAACCTGTTTTCATTGCCCCGCCAGTGTCCAATTACAGTGTGATTCCCCCTAGTACCACTCCTCAAGCAGCCACTCAAAGTAGCCTTAGGGAAACTACCCCACCTGTGAGATTGATTGCACAGGGGCAGGGTCCCACTACCTCCCAACCAGCTTCAGTAACATGTAATCAAAATCCACTTTTTTCTCCTGGAATCCTGAGCTTCAGTGTTTCGGCTTCTAATCAGAGTCCACTCAATCTGACTCGAGACAACACAGCAGCTACGACATCAGAAATCACAGCATCGCCACATCCCCAGCCTGTCCGCCCTCCTCTTTCAAGGGGTCAATCAGTGGCTGGAGAGAGTAACTCTGCTCTCCAAGTTAATCTGCAAACTTCTCTTGTGAATGATCCTTCCTCTAATCATAATCAGCCATCAAATTATGAACTGCTTGATTTTTCTATGCACCAATCACAAGCCCAGAGCCAGGCTTCTGGACACCCTTCCTCTCTTCACGAGTCTCCACAATCTAGTAATGGATTTTACCTACAGGTCACCAAAGATGCTCTAAAAGTGGAAGGGAATGCCTCTGTCCAGACTCCAACTTCTTCATCTACCACACAGGTACCACCAGCACCCTCTCAAACAGCTCCAAACACCCAGCAGCCCCCAGCAGAACCTCCTAAGGTATTAGATTCTCAGGCTGCACAGCACGGACAAAAAGATGCTCCTCCTGTTACAGCGAGTGGAGCACAACCCCCCAGTTACCAGTATCCTGCTCCAATACAGGGGCCATCTGCAGGAAATGCTCCTCCTCCTGGGCCTCAAGGTCCTCCAGGGGCTCCACAGACAACTCCTGCGGAGCCACCTCGCCCACCATCCTCTGCAGGAAGCCATCAAGGCTATGGGCCTCCACCAGCACCGGGTCAGATGTATAGTGGCTATTATAATAATTATGGAGACTACCCAGATAGCAGAGCACCATATCCTTCTGGCCAATACCCACCTCCATCTGGGGATCCTAGAGCACAGCCATATTATCAAGTAAGTATAAGGTGTCCTTTTATTTAACCTAGCATGTGAATATTTATTTCCCAATTTCTATTGGTGCTCTTATTTCTTAGGCAGGACCATACAGGAACAGAGTAGATCCTTGGTATGGCAGATATGAGGGGCAGACCCAAAGTTATCGTGATACAAACTACCAGTACAGAGAGCCTCAGCCGGAGCGTCCTAACTCTAGAGCCAGCCAGTACTCTGACAGGCCATCATCCAGGTTAGTGAAACTCACAAGATCACTTGAATGGTGTGTACTGTCTTTTCACGTGTTTCTGATTTATAAATTGAGTTTTTAAGTATCTTAAGAGGATTTTGCAAGTTAAAGAATTCCCTGCTGTGATGTTGGTTTTGTTGGATGTAAAAAATCTGTGTTAATACATTGTACTACTTCATTCATCATTACCTTATCTTTGAATTGTTTTTTTCTCTCCCCTTAAGGCAAGGCTATCACGAGGATTACCACAGAGCAAACCAAAGTGCCTATAGTGATTATTATGCAAATTATGCCAAGTACTTTGGAGGTATGGCTCGTAGCTCATAGTGTTGAAAGCTTTGAATATTTATTTATTTATTTTTTTTTCTTAATTCATGTCTTTCCCTGTCTCCGTTTCATATTTTCTGCGTAAAGGATACTATGGACACTATGACCCCAGATATAGAGGATACTATGACCAGTCCTACTGGGCTTATGATGATAGCAGAAGGGGAGACAGCTACAGCAATCAATCTATGTATCCTACCAGGTATGCAGAGAATACTGTTTGGACATCATGGAGTTGTTATAATATTAATGTACATTTACAGTGAGTAATAAAAGGCAGTGTAAGAAGTGTTATTGTTCATGCATGTCTCATGGAAAAAGAAAATCTAAATTCAATTTACAACATTTCACTCACAGGAAGGCTGGCTATGAGGACCAGTGGCAGTACTATCCTGGTTACGATGCTAGCTTTGATGAGGACTACCGTCGTCAGGGAGATGCTTATGGTGATGACTTTGACCGGCGCAGTGTCCACAGTGAACAGTCAGTCCACAGCTCCCACAGTCACCACAGCAGACGGAGTAGCTTCAGCTCACGATCGCAACAGGCAATTTTTTTTTTCCCACATATGTCTCACAAGTATTCTGTGTATGCAGTTATCTGGCTGAACCACAAATGGAGACCAGGCCAAAATTTATGAGTAATCACTGTAGAAATATTGTTAAAGCAAAAATTAATTTACAAATTCTTTTTCCATGTATTTTTTTTTTTAATGTTTCATTTGCATTATAAATAATAATTCTCTCTTTGTTACAGAGCCAAGTGTACAGGAGCCAGCCTGACTTGGTGTCAGCAGCATATGATAACACATCATCCACTCTGGCTGTGGATTACTCCTATGGGCAGTACCCAGATCAGACTGATGCATCTCACAACTATAGCCAGTACTATCCCTCTGGGTATACCACCGAAAGCACCTGGATTGCCCCTGAGCAGCGTAAGTGCTGCATCACTCTTTGAAGCATTTTTTTCATTTCTAAGGGTCCTTAGCTGAGTTGAATGGTCTGATTCTCTTTGTTTTTTCTCCTCTAGCCCCTCCTCGTCCTGCAACCCCAGAAAAGTTCACCATACCACACCGCTGTGCTCGTTTTGGACCTGGTGGACATCTTGTTCAGGTTCTGCCAAATCTGCCCTCAGCAGGACAGCCTGCTCTAGTTGATATCCACAACCTTGAGGTATGGCTTTAACAGACCATATTTCATTGATATATTGTTTTGTTTTTTGGTTGGCTTTTTTTGTTTGTTTATTTTGGGTCTTTTGGAAGATGTTCCTGAAACTGTATTACTCCGGTTTCAATAAACCTAGCAAAATAAGCAGCACTAAAACTAATGAGCTGTGTGTCTTTTAAGGAAAAAATTCTTCCTTTTTTTCTATTTCCCATTATTTATCTTATTAAGATTATGGCGGATTTACTTTAGCAGACACAAAATGTTAAATGTACAACATAAAATGATCTGAAATCACTGACACTTAAAGACCACTAGATTGTATGGGTTGATTCACACAGCTTTTCCCATAAAATAGGAAAGAGACGAGATGTCTGCTCATAGTCCCAGTAATACTGAGCAATAACCTTTGAGCAGTATGCAGGTAAACATGCTGTGCGAAGGGCAAAAGAGAGATTGCATTAGCTAGAATGCAGTCTCAAAACCATCAGCTGTTGTCTAACAGTGATTTAACTTCTTGTTAATTTGAATTTATCTTCATTCATAAACAATGACTAGCAGATGGAACAGTATTGATGATATCCATTATGTTCTGATAGAAGCCCTGAAGTAACTGTTAGCATTTGCCCGTAAACTTAGTGTGTGTGTGTGTGTCCATAATCTGAAGAATTATTATATCCTTTGCCTGTATTTATAGACCATGCTGCAGGATACCACTGATCAGGCAGAACTGCGAGGTTTCCCTGGACCTCTTGTCAAGTAAGGGAATTCTACCTTTGTGTTAAGATGTATGTAACCTACTGCACAAGTGTCCCGTGGAGGGGGTGGCTACACACAGGTGGAAAAGGGGGGAGTAGAAGTTTGGAGGGTTGGCTTTTCGGTGGTTGTGCAAAGGAAGGCGACCATTAAAGTTGGACTTCTAATGTCAATTGTTTGATTATTGGACTAACATTGAAAGCTGAATGCTCTGAGAGATACGAAGAGCTTTTCGCAAACAGCTGCAATCCATTGTTGACAAATATGAAATTGGGGCCGAAGTCCATTATAAAAGGAGAGATTGTCATGAGTGGAAAGGTCCAGGTGTGGTCATTGGCCAAGGTGTAGTAATATTTGCCAGGTGTGGAGGAACCTATGTCAGAGTACACCAGTCTAGGCTCAGAAAAGTGGATGAACCACAAGTGAAAATGGAAGAAACTGAAGAGGAAAATCAGATTAAAACAGATGAAAGTCTTTTAAAGACCCCAGCAGTGGTACTTGCTGAGGAACACGATTTTTGAAAGCAAACGTGAGGAGATGGCATCAACAAAAATTGAACTGCTTGGTACTACAGAAAACAGTCCTTCTGTGATCCAGTACAAGCTAGAGAAAGAGGTCCTACACTGTCCCACTCAACCACAGATATAGAAGGACTAAAACTTAAAGTTGGACAAATAATTAAATACACAGACAAAGAAACAGGTCAAACATATGCTGGAAAAATAATCAGTCGAGCAGGAAAAGCCACTGGGAAACACAAAGTGGTACAACATGGAGTACAGTGAGCCCGAGGAAATTGCTGGATCCATGGGTTCCATTAATGTGCAGCAAATAAACAACCTCCAAGTGACACAGTCTGAAGATGCCAAGTCATGCACAGACAGAGATGAAAGATTAGTGGTGAAGGAAGACATCTTCTCACAAGCCAAACAAACTGAACTTGACAACTGGGAAAAGAAACGATGTGTTTAAAGAGGAGAAAGACAAGGGTCAGAAATGTATATCAACAAGGTGGGTGTGCACACTCAAGGAAACACCAGTGGGCATTGTACCCAAAGCTAGACTGGTTGAGTACGTTAAAAATTTTAATCGCCTTAATCATGATGGCGGCGTTAACACATTTAAGCTGCGTTAACGTGGCTCAGTTACCACCGGTAGAAGCACAGAGCAAAGGAACTACATGAAATTGAATAAATGTGTTTATGGCCTGGCAGATGCTTCATTATGCAGATAAAACTGGGTGAAAGAAACCATGCAGAAGCTGGGGGGCACAGTGTCAAAAGTAGATTCAGCTGTCTTCTACTGGCTAGATGATCTCTATAAGGTGACAGGGGTACTTGCATGTCATGTAGATGATTTTATGTGGGGTGGTTCAGACATGTTCTCCACAGTAGTCATCCCCAAACTGAAAGCTGCTTTTCAAGTTGGACGAGAAGAACATAACAGCTTCAGCTACGTCGGGATAGAGCTTCATTCTCTTCAGTACAAGAAGATATGTACATTTAAAAAAACAAAACAAAAAAAAAGAACCTACAGCCTATTCCTATTAATCCCACAAGGGCACCACAGCCATGATTGGACAGTTACTGTGGGCAGCAAGACAGAGCAGACCCCAAGCACAAAACATGCTACTATTCAGACAATGCACTGCACAAACAAACTGATCAGAAAACTTCAGAGGTGGTTACACTGAGTTTTCAGTACTTGGGAGAAAGAAAATCCCTCAAATTAGTGGTGTTTAGTGTTTTCTCGATCGGAGCCCATAACACACTCATTTTCACTCCTCATACGAGAGCGTCAGCACCGCACTCTCCAAAATGAGAGACTGGGTAGCCCCAGTGTCGTGCAAAATTGCAATCGGCACATGATCTTCCTCTTTCCCACTCAGTGAGACGAGCCCTTTTGAAATGAAAGGTCAGTAACTGCTGTCAAGACAGTCATTTCCTGGTTCATCACTGACGGGATTAGGAGCGGACACCGACCGAACGAAATCAACACTTTTTGTCTTTTTCGAGGTTTGAGCTTGCTCTTTGCAGCGAAGTAACGGACAATTAGCAATGAGATGTCGCGTTTGACACTTAGGAGAAACCTTTTCATGGTGCACAGCTGAAAACGAAAACTCATCTGTGAGAACAGCAGCTTTAGAATCCACCTTTTGCTCATTGAGATACACAACAACATTCTCAGGGAGACACATTTTGAATTCTTCCAATAGGACGAATTCTCTTAGCTAATAAAATCCTTCACTTTACTCGCAGCTAACCACTGGGCCACTTTAAAGTGGTTGTGATGCAAAGGCGTTAAAGTAAGAATCAACCTCACTTTCTCTGAAAGGTGACCCTAAGGCAACTTGTTTACTTGCATTGAACTGGTCAGAGGAGAATGTCTCGGAAGTTTTGCTGACGGGGTAGACATAGCATTGTGTTCCTGGGAAGGATCTAGCTCCATAGCCCTTACGCGGGGATGCATAAGCTCAGCTTCTTTGGCTTTAGTCTCAAGCTCGACCTCTTTCAGGCAAAGGGCGAGCTTGATATCCTCTGTAACCATTCCTGCCTGTAACTGACCAGCTGGTTCAATGTTTGGGACCTAAATGGCAGCAGGAGCCTCCGCCCCAGTGTCATCCATCCACTGACAGCTTGTGGGATGGTTGCTGCAGCTTCTGCTCCCACATCCACCACCAAATTCTCAGAAGCATCAACCAGTCGAGGTTTCACCTTTGCAGTTATCCCCTTTTCTACCAGCTGCTCTGCCAGACACTGCTTAATTTCTGCTTTTTGTGCATTTAAGGGGACACTAACATTAAACAAATTAGCCACCAACAACAAATCTGCCTTCGTGCATCATTGCAACTTATCCATGGTGGGCCGTTGTACAAAACCATCCACATCAAAAGTCATTGTGGCTAGTATACCCCCTACCCTACCAGAAAACTGCCAACCAAAAGCTGTGGACAAAAAGGAAGTGACGCCACCCTTGTCCCCAAAACCATACCCAGAAACCAAATTTCAAGTGAAAGGTTGTTTTGTCCAAACTGAAAGCTTAACTCTGGGGTGAACAAACGCCAAAATAACAAACATTCAAAAAGGGAGGTGCTACCTAAAACCTAGGTGAAACACAAACCAAACAAACGACAGGTGCTACCCCTAACTGAATAAACAGGAGAAAACGGTGCCCCTATTTACATGTGATCCATAATCTATTTATTTACAAACTCAATAATCAGGAAAGCACAAAAATCACAGAGGGTTTTGGAGGCCATGGTTGGGTCTGCTGCTGCTGCTGTCAGTTGCTGCCCCGGGAGAACTGCTGGTGAGGGATTTTCAAAGCAGCCACATGATCAAGAAGCCAATCAGCAGCAGCCAGCTTTCCAATTAGGAAGAACCTGAAGAGCCTCTTAAAGACACAGACAGAAAAAACCTAAAACGGCCACCAGGATTCAGCTTATGGCCAGGGCCGTAACAGCAATGAAATAAATCTAATTCCTAGCCAGAGCCTAAAACTCCCTATTTATATTGAATGCATCATTGACTGCTTTTCTGTTTTAATATTGCATCTTGTCCATCAGGGAAGAGACTCACAAGGTGGACGTGATTAAATTCTCCCAGAACAAAGCATTGGAGTGTTCCCGTGATAACAACCTCTTAGACAGAGACTCTGCCCGCCTCCTCTGGGACTTCATCATGCTGCTATGTAGACAGAATGGGGTAAGACTGTGCAGGCACCACTAAACTTACCATACATTGAAATTAAGGCAAGACTGTGGCTTTTCACATTTGTGTGAGACAACGTTTTAACTCGTACTCTGTTTCCTCAGACTGTTGTGGGCACAGATATTGCTGACCTCTTGCTGAAGGAGCATCGCTCTGTCTGGCTTCCCGGCAAGAGTCCTAATGAAGCCAACTTGATTGATTTTAATAACGAGCCACTGGCGAGAGCCGAGGAAGAGCCTGGAGCCGGACCACTGTCTCTACTGTCGGACACTTTCATGACTGTCCCAGAAAATTTTGGCAAAGAAACAGAACGCTTCAGGGAGCTGCTGCTGTTTGGCCGAAAGAAGGTAAAATTGTACATAAGAAATGCAGTATGAGGTATTAACTTGCAAGATTTTAAATACCTGAACGTTGTTGAATTAGGATGCACTAGAAGCAGCCATGAAGGGAGGTCTCTGGGGCCATGCCCTGCTATTGGCCAGTAAGATGGACAACAGGACTCATGCCCGAGTCATGACGAGGTAAAGAAATCAGATGTGAGAATAATTAACTTTGGTCCTATTTGTTCTATGATTGTTATTATATTATT